TTGCCTTTCCTTCACATTTGTTATACTTTTCTTCGTTATCTCTTCCCCCTTTTGCTTCTATTCTCTTCACTTCCCCTCCCTTGCGCTTCTAACCCTCTTCTCCTGTTTCACACCTTTTATCGTCTCTCTCCCTCTCTCACCTTTACGCTAAGCTCCTCCCCTACCTTCCAGTAAAGCTGATGTGTGTGTGTGTGTGTGTGTGTGTGTGTGTGTGTGTGCAGAGGTTCAAAATTAACATGACACCTATTTTGAGAAAGTCACAGATTCACTATAAATTTTTTCTTTACACACACACACACACACACACACACACACACACACACACACACACACACACACACACACACACACACACACACACACACACGTTCCAAAATACATTATCATACTAGCATGCTACCCTTAATGTAACCCCTTAACATACTAGTGCCAGTAAATGGAATTATTGAAAAGATCAACTCCCTCTACCTAGCCCGAAGTCCCACACCCCCCTCTCCCTTCCCCTATCCCCCCTCCCCCTTCCCCCCTTCCTCCACAAGACGTAAATAAAAATACCACGTCCTGTTGGGAATCGATTCTGCACTTTAACTTGACACTTGGACAGCATCACAATACTCGTTCATTCACAAATAAAAAGAAATTATATACTGAAGTTTTTTTTATTATTGTTATTAGATGCCAGATGGTGTTGAATTTATTTGTATTTGAATTTGAGTTCATCACCTTGAAGATGACGAGGTGAAGCTAACCTAACCCGACCCCAGTAGACCCGACCCCACCCCACTCCACCCCACCCCACCCCACCCCACCTCTACCTCTCTTGTCTTCCAATAACTTTCCCGAATCTGTTAGTTTAGCTTGGTGATTTGTCTCCGTCACTGATGAATATTTAAAACTCGCAGGACGAATTCGAAAACCCGTCAAAAAAAATCTTCAAGGGGTGAGTGGTCGATTGGTGGAAGCTTCCGTGTTTCGTGTGATTTTTCGTAGTTTGTTGTGTAAAAAAAATTGACGCCGTGTACGTTAGTGTCATGTGTGGCCTTATGAGGAGTGTGATAGATTGAGAGAGAGGGAGTGGGGTAAGAGAGAGAGTGAGGGAAAATAGAGGGGAAGGGAGAAAAAGAAGAATGAAACGGATTGAGAAAGAAGAAAATATGGGAAAGAGGAGAATATAAAGAAAAAGTGAGGAGGGGGGAAGAGGAAGATGTTGAGAGAGAGAGAGAGAGAGAGAGAGAATAGTATGCTCTTGTATTTGTGTGCGTGTGTTGGAGGTCTCTCTCTCTCTCTCTCTCTCTCTCTCTCTCTCTCTCTCTCTCTCTCTCTCTCTCTCTCTCCATCATCAAACCCTACTACTAAAATAAAAATTAATTATTCTTGCCTCTACATAAAAACCTAATCACGTTTCACACATCTTAAAACCTGAAAACCAAACCAAATTGTAAAAAAAAATTACCGAGTTTTATTATTATTATTATTTTTCTCTCTCTCTTTCTATCATTTGTGCAAAGTTCAGCTACGACCAATCGATTCCTGGTTCGTGTGTGGGGAGGAGAGAAACTGGCTATTAATATGTGTAGTGTAGTGTAGTGTAGTGTAGTGTAGTGTATAGTGTAGTCTAGTGTACAGTGTAGTGTAGTAGGGAGGTAGAGAGAGGTGGAGGTGAGTGATGGTGAGGCAGGGACGGAGAGGTGAAGGATAAAGGAAGAGATGGAGGTAAACGAGAGATGGGGAAACAGAGGACAGGTAGAGAAGGAGAAAAATCGATAACAAAACCAATCTAAATAAATAAATAATAAAAGATAAACAACGTGAGCATTCGAGTCTAAAGTTAATTATATTTTAAACAACAAAAATAATAAATTAAGAAAAAATTAACATCTTCATAAACTAAACCATTAATTAACATATTCGAAAATACTTAGGTGAGATTTCCCGTAAACTTGGAGAATTTTTAATTAAAGTTTTTAATATTGTCGAGTCAATTTACCCTTGATGCTCTGGTGTTTTGGTTTTGTTTTTCGTATTAATTTATTGAAAAGTTTTAGGTCTTTAATTTCTCTTTCTTACGATTTTATCTTCTTCCTTCACTCTTTTCCTCTAATTTTTGTCCTCCTCGTTCCCTCCTCCTCCTCCTCTTCCTGCTCTTCCCCTTCTCTACCCCTTTACTTCCCATCTTCCTCTCTTTCTCCTTTCCTTTCCCCTCTTTTTTCCTCTAATTTCCATCATCTCCTCTCCTCTACCCCACCCTCTTCATCCCCTCTTCCTCCTCCCCCCCCTCCTTCTCCCACCCCTCTTCCTCCTTTCTCCCCCCTCCTCCTCCCCCTCTCCTCCCCTACCCTTCGTCTTCCACCCCCCCCCACTATAGTAGTGTAGTGTCTCATCACGTACAGGCATGAAGGGGGGGCTCAGGCTACGAAGGGGAGGGAGTAAGTCAGGCTGCGAAGGGGAGGGAGTGAGTCAGGTTAGGAGAGAGAGGGGGGAGGGAGTAAGTCAGGCTGCGAAGGGGAGGGAGTGAGTCAGGCTGCGAAGGGGAGGGAGTGAGTCAGGCTAGGAGAGAGAGGGGGGAGGGAGGTTGTAGGAAAGGAACTCATAAACGTGCCAGGTTCGACTAGCTCTTTAACTCACTCAAGTGATTTTGATATCTTCCTTCCTCCCCCTATAACTGTGAATCGTCTTTATCATCTTAATCACCTTATTCAACCTTGAATTACATCATATATTCTGTCATTAACGTTGGTATCTGGTGACCTGTAGTTAACGAGGGTGTTTTTATTCTTGTGGTTTGTGTAATTATCGACGATTTGTATTTTTTTTTCTTTTGACTGTGGATGGGGATTTGTTATCGTCTGATGGCTTGAAAATAATGTATTATTCTGGCGACTTTAGGAGGGCGTTTATTCTCCACATGGCTTAAGAAGGATTTATCTCCTAGTGGCTTGAGGAGAAATAAGTCTCCTAGTGGCTTGAGGAGAACGTTATCTCCGAGTGGCTTGAGGAGAACGTTATCTCCGAGTGGCTTGAGAAGAACGTTATCTAGTGGCTTGAGGAGAACGTTATCTCCTAGTGGCTTAAGGAGAGCGTTATCTCCTAGTTGCTTGAGAAGAACGTTATCTCCTAGTGGTTTGAGAAAAACGTAAATTACTCCTTGTGGCTTTTGAGGAGAGCATATACAGTCGCCTGCACTTCTACCTGGTACAATGGCTGATACGTGTTGTGAGATGTGGCAACTCTTTGGAATATTTATCTAGCATTCTAAGTCTGGCTACTATTGCCAGGTTCTTTAGGGCCATTCCGCGAGTTTTAATATGACGTAAACAAACACAGAGTTGCCACATCTCACAAAAAGCGCCAGTCACTGTACCAGGTATAAGTGCAGGCGAGTGTACATCCTCTTAGTCGCTTTGAAGAGAACGTATATTCTTTGGGTGGTTCAGAAAAAAAAATCACGTACGAATCTCGTAAGTTGGGCCTCTAACAGCTCGTCCGTGGACTTAAGTTAAAAAAAATAACGTGCTTTTCAATTTCTCGTCCGTGGTCTTAAGATAACACAGAAAAACTTATGTGTCTTTGATAATTAATTTAGTCGTGTGAGATATATTTGTTATGATGCCCTGAGGGAGACCAGAGCGCCTCACCACACCCAAGTGACATTTCTCTCTCTCTCTCTCTTGTAATTATGGAACTATGAATTATTATTTTCCTTTTTGCTTCTGTTTCCCCGCGTAATGGAGTCTCAACTCATTTGTTCCTTTATTTCTCCTTTCTATTTTTTTTAAGTCTTGATATCCCAGATTTATCAGAGGGTGGCGCAGCTCACTACCAACTTTCACTTGTGTTTCTCTAAGCGTCACTGTTTTTTTTATTTCATCCACATGCATATTATTACGTTTGCCCGCATTAACTCAGATCTTATCACCATGTTTATATTTATCCCCGCTTTAATCTCGTGTCTCGCTATCGTCCGTATCTTTGTCGCATGTGAAAAAGGATTTTGGAAAAAGCAATGAATTTTATACTCCGTTCCCTAGTGGTGCGGCAGAATTCACGGAATGTGTTGTTTTTAACGTCGTCATTGTTGTTATTCTGTTCTAGTTAATCTATCTATTGGATTACATATATTTCCCATTTTATTCCAGTATTTTATTATCCCTATTTGCATTTATTCACCTTCTTATCACATTCTCTTTAATCTATTTCTTATTTGCAGTTTTTTTCCTCGGTCTTTTGTGCTGGTCGGGCATTCAGTCTGGCGTTTAATCTTACTTAACCCTGGGTTCTTTTTTACTCTTTTTCATTATAGATAAAATCGTTGCTATTATGTTTTTAGTGATGATTGCTCGTGTTCCGTGTGAAGGCTTTTTTTTTTAGATTTTTTTCAGTTCTCTTTTATTTTTTTATGGATTATTCTTACGATTACGAATGATAACTTTCCGGCTTGCAGATATTTTATTAACGAAACGATAATTCTAACGATTATGGATGATAATTTTCTGTCATTTAGTGTATTTTATTATTAACCTTATTATTGATCTCTCTCTCTCTCTCTCTCTCTCTCTCTCTCTCTCTCTCTCTCTCTTAGTGGTATACAGAATAAGTCTTAGTTGGTATACATGACGTGAGATAACTGGTATACATGGTGTGTATTAGCTGGTATACATGATGTGTGTTAACTGGTATACATGGCGCTATTACCTGGTATGAGGATGGTATACATAATGTGCTCGATAAATATATTCAATAATGATATCCATAGATGTATGTCACTTCCCATAAACACCTGTACCTCCATTAACAACACCTGTACGCCTCTTAACACCTGTACGCCTCTTAACACATGTACACCGTAGCACTTGTACACCTAACACCTGTACGCCCACTAATACCTGTACCCACTAATACCTGTATCCACTAATGCCTGTACCAACTAACACCTGTACGCCCACTAACACCTTTACGCCCACTAACACCTGTACGCCCACTAACACCTGCCCTCTCCACAGGTATTCTGGCTTTGGTGATTTTCTGCATCTGCGTGGGCAAGAAAGACTCCTGCAAGGTCTGCTTCTGGTAACCATGGCAACCACCAGATGCTGAGGGGACGAGGGGAAGGAGACGAGGGGAGCACCTACCTGTGTGGAGGAGAGAAGAGAAGTGAGGGAGACGGAGATGATAACTGTTGGAGATGAAGAAGAGAAAGAGAAATGGAAGACGAATGAAGGAGTCGAAGATGAGAAGTAAAGGTATTGGAGATGAAAAGGAGGAGGGAAGGAGAACAAGGAAGAGGAGAAAGATAAATGAAGAACAAGTTGATGATGGGTGGCGACTCAGAGGATAAAATAAACCGTTGAATAAGAACAGTGACGTACTTATATACGGACACGTAGGGACACGGAAGACTGGACATGGAGTAAACTAGAATAAAGGTATAAATTGATACGTTGGTAAATAAGAGAAATCGGGTAAAGGGAACAAAGAAAGACTTAGGACTAGGAGAGATAGAGATAGAGGAAGAATAGGCAGTAAAGTAAAAAGTCTGATGATTAATAAGAACGAAGATCAAATTGGTAGGTAAGAGAAGTGATAAATATGACGATAAAGATGAGATATAAAGAAAATAAATTATGGAATCAAACTTGCTACGGAGAATTTATTATTATTTTTTATATTAGGATCAATTTATAGTTATTAGGACAGTATTATTATTATTTTCATCATTATTATTATTATTATTATTATTATTATTATTATTATTATTATTATTATTATTATCATCATCATTATTACTAAGTATCAATGGAACGGACTCGAAAATCTTCAGAAACTCATTAAATTTTATCTTTCTCTTGGAAATTTATTGAAAAAATATATATAAATAGCTATTTTTTCATAGGATCGCTTACATAAACCTTAGCGTGTAATTATGGGATAAATAAAGTACTGGGAAATGGATAAAAGAAAGTGGCTTAGGAGGAAAGAGGGGGTGACTTCGGTGGCTGGTAGGGTGATGGAGGGAGGCAGGAATATGTCTCCCTAATAGACTGTCTAAAAACACACTAACTACCACTGGGAGGAGAGCCAGCCAATGTTACTCTCCGGTAGCGAGTGAAGGAAAAAAGTAAATGTATAAGGGATTGTGGGAATAGGGAAATGGCGATCAGTAGCGAATGAAGGAAGTAGATGTATTATGGATAGCGGAAATGTGGGAATGGCGATCAGTAGAAGGGAGGATAATGAAGGAAATTTATGTAGAAAAAAGAGTAGAATAAGGAAGTAGTGATCAGTAGATAGTATGTGTATGAAAGTCGTAATTGCATAATAAGAAGATAAATGAGGAAAAGAACTAGAATACACGAATGCAGTTGCCCAATAAAAGTGAAATATAGAAAATGAAATCAATAATAGTTTTAGCAGTGTTAAAGATTGGGAGGTAGAAGAAATGACTGGAAATATTTGACAAGGCGATAAATGAAGTTAGAATCAGTGGAAAGGTTTTGTTTTTGTTGGAGGGGATACGAAGCTAATGCGGTATATAAGGAGGTAAAAAATTATAAAAACATAACATTAATAATTTTTTTATGTCGTGTATTTAAGTTTATAGTAAAGTGATATAAAACAGTGACTTCATTTTCTTTCTTTTTTAATTCTTGTTTATTGGTTTTTTGGCTATTATTTTTTTTTATTAATTGGAACATTTTATTTTATCTTATTATTTTCCTTGCAATTCCTAATTTTGTCAACGTCATCTTGTAATTAAGTTTGTGATAAATTATCCTCTTTTTACTGGTGATGTCAAAGATTTCTTGGGGAAGTCGTTTCTTCACACTTTCAATATACTGTAAAGGAATAATTTATTCTTTTCGAACGTTTTACCATATGTCTTCTTGTCTTTTTCATATATTTTTGATTTTCTTCATTCTCGTCTTTGTTTATATGTGTTTTATTGTTTTTCTTCGTTTCTCTTAACATGTTTTATCATATTTTTTTAAGCTGATTATATTTTTGTTTACAGCGGTGTGGTATAAATCAGTATGGTGGTGGTGGTGGTGGTGGTAGAGGACAGAAGGAGGGAGAGCTTCCAGACGAGCAACTCAGGTAACCATGACTACCAGCCGTGAGGGAGGGAGTGTGTGTGTGTGTGTGTGGGTGTGGGTGTGGGTGGGTTAGGAGAGGTGCAGTGTGAGGGGGGAGGTGGAGAAGAGAGGGAGAGGGGTTGGGTAAAAGAGGGAGGAATGGAAGGTAAGATTAGAAAAGGGAGGGAGGGAAGGGGGATGAAACGAGATAAATAAAGGCCTGGGAGAGGGGGATAGAGTATTGGTAAAAAAAAGAGGAAGAGGAGGAGTAAAGAGAGAGACCAAAGAGAGGTGGAGTGTAAAAGGGAACGGAGAAATGAAAAAAAAGAGAGGGGAAAACAAACATTGGAGGGAAGAAGAAAAGGAAATAAAAGCATATTCAATGTTTTTTTTAATCAATCAGACTCGTGTAAATCAAAATACCTACGAAATAAATTAACAAGAAAACTTTACAAAAAATACATAACCACAAATAACGAGAAGCGTCACTCTGAGGGGAAAAATAAGAAGAGGAAGCCCTAGTAATACGGAAGAGAGGGGGAAAGAGTCGATCGTAACCATGGTAACTGGGAGGCCCAAGGGGAAACAGGTATAGGCCTAGTGGGTATACCTCAGGGGAAATAGGAAAAGTGAGGGACTTGGGACTAACAGACAACAGGGAGGGACTTGGGATTAACAGACAAACAGGGAGGGACTTGGGACTAACAGACAACAGGGAGGGACTTGAGATTAACAGACAAACAGGGAGGGACTTGAGATTAACAGACAAACAGGGAGGGACTTGAGATTAACAGACAAACAGGGAGGGACTTGGGATTAACAGACAACAGGGAGGGACTTGTAACTGACAGACAAACAGAGGGAGTTCTAAAGCTAACAATCAAACGGATGAACTTTTAACTAACAGATAACAGGTAGGGATTTTTTAAAGCTAACAGACAAGCAGGGAAATAACTAACAGATCTAAATGGCAGGAGGAAGAGAAGAAAAACGATGGATAATGGAGGGAACAAAAGCAGAACAGGTAACAGAACTATTTAGAAAAGTGTTGGTGCTTAAAGATATAAATAACCTCGAGGAGAAGTTAAAATCACGTTTAGTAGTTAACAAAGATCAAGTACAAATGAGCACGAATGCATTAAAGTGAATGTGATTTTTTTTTTATTGTGACATATTTGCCTGGTTACATTTCACTCTCTCTATTTGTGTTTATTTATATGCATGTTTATCAAGCTATTTCTGTTGTCTCTTTTTGTCGAGGTATTCATCTATCCGTCTAAGTACTGTATTTATCTATCTATTTATTTGAATTTTGTTTTTACTCCATTCTCATATTTGTAGAGGTTGAATGAAAGTAAACAGAAACGTCAAAATAAAGGAAGCATAATGATGAATAATAAAACTGCAATACCCTCAAAGACAGCAACAAGAACAAGGTTAAGACAGCAAGTAAAATATACCCCCCACACACACTAACTGATCCTTAACTTACTGGAAAATTAATATTTGTGTTATATGTCTACTCATAACATGAATCTTGCATCTAAGGAATATGCAGGATGGAATGGAAATACGAGGGGTAGTAATAATTATATTCTAAAAATAAGTGAAAAATATAATCGGATTAAAAATAATTGAAGTAACCTATATTTTATATTACAAAGAGTTTGCAATAAATTTAACTGAAGTAAGATATTTATTTTATGAATACTGTACGGTAAAATTGATTAATAAGGGAATGTGTGGTATGGCAATATCGTGTATTGACGCGATAAATTTGTTTTCATGTATACAATATCAATATTATGTACAGGATAACTATCACATGTATCATATCATTATTAGTTATTATTACGCTGTTTTATTACTTCTGGGTACCAATGTTATTCTTTTTTTTCACCGCCGGATGACGAAAAGGAACGAGAGAGAGTTGTGGTGTAGGCTAAGTGACCACACTCCTCAGATGATTAAGGGTGTAGCGTTCACTAGTCCAATAAGCAAGATCCACGCATATACGGCATGAAAAGCGCTAGGTGTTCCAATATTGCTGGTCTCGCTGGTCTCGCAAACCTGCATTATCTAATCTAATCTATAAACAGCAAATCCATCACACCCCAACCACCTCTGAATGACAAAGCTGGTTAATTTTGTTTTCTGAGAACAGCTGTGCAACTGGTTAGACAGGCATACAGGCGTGACACCGCATTTACTGGCATTCTCGCAATATATTAAGAAAAACCGACAAGGGTTCTCGTAAATGCGTAGACCGTGCCATTTTGCTAACCGGACAAATGCCTTAGCAATAGCCTACACCAAGAAGAGGACTTAATTTACTCTCACGTTTACATGAAAAAAGAAAAGAAAATTGTCATCGCATTAAGTTGGTAGACGAAAAAATATCTCTGGACTTACAGATGAAAAAAATCGGGGTCCTGTTCTGTTCGTATAAGATACCGTCATTTAAGTCTCCCTTTTTCGTTTACTCAAGGAACAGAAATCATCTCGAAAAATATACTTTACTTTTCCTCATAAATGGCTCTTTTAATTTATGGATTCATAGATAAGTAAGTACTGTACCTTGAAGCAGTTTAATACGTTTCTAGTTATTGTGTACTAGCTTATGTTTTATGTTAAGGGTATTTTTTAGACTGAAATAACTTTAATAGGTTACAATTATTAAAAGGTATCACATTATAGGCAAGTTATTTGTTTTCTAATTGGTTATTTACTCCAAGATCTAGTCATTTCCTGCTCCCGATAAAGACAAACAATGACCCAAACTGACTGTAGGTTGACCTGACTACACCTACTTGACCCTCAACGCCTAATGTGATATAATCACATGACATCATACAGCCATCGGAATATCAGCTGATGTTGGTACCTGTCAACGGCTCCTGGTACCTGTTATCGGGTCCCGCTACCTGTAAGCTGATCCTGGTACCTGTAAGCTGATCCTGGTACCTGTAAGCGGGTCC